TCCGGTCCGGTTTTCAAAACCTTGGAAATTATAGGTTATAGAATGAATTTTTATCAATTATTTATTCTCAATAAATAAATTTTTTTGTTAGAATATTAAAATTTATTGAAGTCACTAAATTTTTTATGTGAGATTTTTTAGAAGGAAAAAATTTACAAAATCTTATATAATATGTTTTACAAATAAAGATTATGAAAATTCATTATTCATTGATGTTATAAATATAGAAAACTACTTGACCTCCTTTAGGTGTGGTAGAGTACATTGGAGAGACAATAAATGGTGATGATAATAGTCAAAGAGGCGAATGATAGTTGGTAGAAGTCAATGTCTTCGACAAGCAATTATTGTATGATAATAGTTGAGCCATGATAGTCAGACGATTGCAATTAAATGATGATGGTTGCTGACAATAAGTTGGCTACAACACAATATGTCAACATGGTGATGATATTTTAGGCAGTGATGGGCGAGCAACAATACTCATGTGGTTGAGCAATGGTGGTCAAACGATGATGGTTGAGTTCTAGCTGCTAGACTATGGTGGTTAATTGACATAAGTGGTGTGAGTATGGTTGCCGACGATGATTGTCATTGATAATCATTGGACATGACTCTAAAATTTATTCAGAACTCTAAACTCTCTCTAATTTTAAGTCTATTTATGTGAAAATTGTAGTTTATTTATAATTTTTATTGATATTTTGATAATTCGATCCAAAATCCTAAAATGCTCTATCGGGCACGCCATGTTAAATCACTCAATTATAAGCATTCTTTAGGCAATGAAGTGCTTAAATAACTTTGAAATTGAGTTATTTTAGGCTAGTTTGATTCATTTTATTGTGACACTCATTTTGACTATAAAGACTAAGATTTAAAAATTGTTAAACCTATAAAATATATATATATATATATATATATATTTATATGTCTCTTGATCGGATCATCGGAACTCCGATTTCAACAAACTTACTGTTGAACTAATCGTCTCGGAAATATGAACCCAACGACATCAAATTCAACTCAATCCGAGCCCAAATAAATCCAAATCAAGGACTCGAAGCACTGTTCCAAGGTTTAAATCACGATTTGGATTACCAAACGGTTTCCAAACATGACATGCTTGTAGTAGAATCGAGCGGCTCGACTAGAAGAGTCCAACGAGCCTAAGATCGCCAAATTCTGATATCATTAAGACCTTCAAATGTCTGACAAACGGTCCACGATCAAGGGATTCAATATTGACCGTCCATTAGAACCACTATACATTTGCCCTTGATCCTCCTCCTATTTACGGGTTATGCCATCCTCAAAAAACTATAAATAAACTCCCATTTCTCTTGAGAGGGGGCCCAGGTAAGAAGGGACCGAAGCAAAAAAGCAAGAGGAAGAAGTGAAGAAGAAGTAGAATAGAATAGTATGAGGGAAGAAACTCCTCCTCGACCATTGTCGGGATTATGTCTGATTTCCACGGGACGCCAGAATTCTGTCAGACTTTCGCGAGACACCAGAATTTCGCCCAACTTCCAAGTGATGCTAGAATTTTGTCCGACATCTAAATGACGCCGAAACTCCGTCCGACTTCCAAGTGACACCAGAATTCTGCCCGACTTTTTAGTGATGCCGGAACTCTGCCCGACGCTCAAGTGATGTCGGAGTTCTTCCCAAGTGACCCTGAAACTCTACCTAACGGTCCTTCGCTCGTTGCCAGATTTCTACCTAACACCGGACTTCTGCCCATTATTGGGTTTTCTCCAGACATCAATCCGATGCTGGTTTTTTGTTCATTGCTGAACTTCTACCTGACATAGTCCTTCCGACCTCTATCGCCTGTCGACTACTGTCCTGCTGACTTAAGTCGCAGTCCAACTGCAGTCCTTCCGACCTCTGTCGCCCACCGACTACAGTCCTTCCGACCTCTGTCGCCCGCCGACTACAATCCTTTCGGCTTACGTCGCCCATCAACTATGGTCATTCCGACCAAACGAACACATT